TTCCCTGTCATTCCCCCCCCCCCCCAAAAGTGACCATTTCCTGTCAGCAGCCCCCCAACGCAGAAGTGACCATTGCCTGTCAGCAAGCTCCCCATCGGCCCCACCCCCAACACAATCGCCTCAAGCGGCAATTATATTATGGCCCTGTATGTGATGCTTCGCTGTCACTTATGGTGTGCACTGTAGTTGTTAAAGGAGAAATATGGGGTAAGTGTTTTTCCCCATAGTTCTCTTAAGGGTCACGGGGGGACATATACTAATGTCCTCCAGTGACCCAAAGATCAGTACCGTATATACTCGAGTATAAGCCGTCCCGAATATAAGCCGAGGTACCTAATTTTAGCAAAAAAAACTGGGAAAAAGTATTGACCCGAATATAAGCCGAGGGTGGGAAATGAGGCAGCTACTGGTAGATAGATACCAATAAAATGACATTAATATTTATTTAAAAGAAAAATAACCTAGCTCTGTAAGTGGAAAAGGGGGTACAGGGCTACATATCATGTACTACGGATCATTTAACCCATTCATATTAGCAGAGGATAATTGTAAAGCTCGCGATATACTGAGACCGCCGCAGCCGGGCCGGATCCCGACAATGCTGTCGAGATCCGCCCAGCGGTGTGAATGACAGCTGCCTCTGCCTATCTAGAGGCAGAGCCCGCTGTGCCTGCCCCCTCCCCGTCCAGTTAGCGCTGGAGGATTGGAGCAGGAGGGGGGAATCCCTGCGGGGAGCGGTGACTGACAGTCACCACTCTCTGCAGGGAGATGATCGAGAAGTGAGCAAGCGGTATGTGTTGGCTCATTTACTGATCTATTGAGCAGACGTGCTCAAACTATGAGGATGAGTGATTTTCACTCACCTCATAGTTCTCTTTGAAATAAAAGAAAGTAAACAATACAGCCTGGGTGGGCAACTCAGGCCCTCCAGCTGTTGTGGAACTACAAGTCCCACAAGGTAATGCAAGACTCTGACAGCCAGGGGCATTACTACCAGAGAGAGAAGCATGCTGGGATTTGTAGTTGAAGCACAGCTGGAGTGCCGGAGTTGCCCACCCCAGCAATGCAGACGCAATGGGGGGGGGGGGGGGACTGCG